TAGTACCACAGACTTCTAGAATCATGAACAGATATCTAAGACTAAACCTAAGGTAATATGAGCAGATTTCGGCTTATACACTGGGAGTTTACTTCCCTACAGCTCCACCCATGCTCCCAAATCTGTTCTGACAAGTCATAAAATCACAGAATAGTAGAGTTGGAAGGGGGCTATAAGACCACCAAGTCCAATTCCATGCTTAGTGCAGGACCACAAGTTAAAGCATGCCTGACGGATGGCTGTTCAACTGCCTCCTGGATGCCTCTTGTGTGGGACAGCCCACAACCTCCCTAGATCATGGGTTCCATTGCTGCTCTAACAATCCAGAATTTTTTCCTGATATCCAGCCAGCATCTGGCTTCCTGTAACTAATAATCCAGCCCATTATTTCATGTCCCGCAGTCTGGGATGAATGAGAAGTGATCCTGGCCCTCTTTCAAATATTGGAAAAATGCTATCGTATCTCCCCTCAAGCTTCTCTTCTCAAGGCTAAACATGCCTGGCTCTTTCATTCTTCCTCATGGGGTTTTGTTTCCAGTCCCCTGATAATCTTCTTTGACCTCTCTGAACTTTTTTTAAGTTTGTTTGTGTCTTTCTTGAAGTGTGATGTCCAGAACTGAACACAGTCCTTGAGATGGGTCTTTACTAGTGCTGAATAGAGGGGATCCAGTACCTCATGTTATTTGGAAGCTATACTTCCATTAATGCAGCCCAGTACAGCATTAGCTTTTTTTGCAGCCACATCACATTGTGGACTCATGTTCAGTCTGTGACCTATGACAATTCCAAGATCCTTCTCACTTGCAGCATTGTTGAGTCAAGTATCTCTTTTCTTGTCCCTGTGCATTGGGTTCCCTTTTGCTAGGTACAGAACTTGCCATTTGGTCCCTACTGAATTTCGTTCTGTTGTTGTCAGCCCAGCCCTGCAACCTATCAAGATCACCTTGGGTCTTCTTTCTGTCTTCCAGAGTATCAGTGGTCCTACCCAATTTTGTGTCATTCATCTGAAGTCTACTTCAATGCATTTGACATTGCAAGAGGAGAGTAGAACTTAGTGGGTGTGGCGGGGGGGGGGGCAGAGAATACATGCTGTTCTTATTATCCATTCCACTGGCAGAAGGACACCATGGGGCAGAACCCATAACCTGCACTGAAGTTATCTATTATACTGTGGTAATGAATGGTTGCAAGGGTCCATAATGGAAAGAGCAAGTTAAAGAGCTCTCATATACTGTAGGTTCACTGAGGTCCTAAGAACTGGTGTTCACCTTGTGTAATGAAGGAATCAGTAAGGTTTTTCAAAACTGTGAATTACTGCTGTAGAGATTACTCTCTCTGTAAATGTGCAAGTAAACAGGAAGAAATGTGGACAATCCAACAACGAAGTCATGAATGGTTATTTTCTGAAACAAGTGGTATGCTGTATCAAACAAGTCTGCAAACACATGAGATTAATGCAGAATACAAGAACAGCTATGTAGACCATTATATGTTCTGGTTCCATCTGCCCATATTTGTTTTATTCTGCTGTACCAAAAGAGTTGGACCATAAGGAAGGCTGAGCGCCAAAGGATTAAGGCCTTTGAATTGTGGTGCTGGAGGAGACTCCTGTGAGTCCCTTGGACCGCAAGGCGATCAGACCGGTCAGTTCTAGAGGAGATCAACCCTGACTGCTCTTTAGAAGGACAGATCCTGAAGATGAAACTCAAATACTTTGGCCACCTAATGAGAAGGAAGGACTCCCTGGAGAAGAGCCTAATGCTGGGAACAATAGATGGCAAAAGAAGAAGGGGACGGCAGAGGATGAGGTGGCTAGATGGAGTCATTGAAGCAGTTGGTGTGAGCTTGAGTGGACTCCGAGGGATGGTGGAGGACAGGAAGGCCTGGAGGAATGTTGTCCATGGGGTCGCGATGGGTCGGACACTACTTTGCGACTAACAACAACAAACCAAAAGAGTGAAGTTCCCCTGAAGGGCGAAGCAGAGTTCCTGCCACTGGAAGCCCTCCAACAGTAGGAGAAAGTAGAGAGGAAAAGAGGGATCAGAGTCTGATCCATTTTCTTTAGATTTTTTTTACTGAAGTGGTAGCTGCATCATTGCTTGGATTTACAAGCATGGTCACCCTCACAGTATTCCACAATGTTTTTAAAAATGTAGATAAAGTATACAACTTAGTATGAGACTAAATACAGTGCCTATTAAAATAACTCATCCTATTTACTGCTAAAGCTAAGCAGCCCACAAATACAAAGAACTTGTATAATTTTAGAAACAGGATAAAGCTTGCAAGTGGAAGAAAAGGGAATGTAATAGGCGTGGAGCAAACATGGACAATTGTTTTCTATGTGTTTACTGCTATCCAACCTGCCCCAATGGAAATACTTAAAGTAAGGATAAGGAACATGAAGACTTAACAGGCAAAGTCAACTGGGACCTGTGGCCAATGGCAGGAAGAGCCAGAATCAGTGATAACTGCACAGTTCTCTCCAGGCTGCCCTGTACTCCCCTAACTTCCTCTATTGCATGTGCACACTTGAAGGGAAAGAGGAAGCAGTTCCCACAGTGGTGATCTGGAGAACCAGATGAGGTGGAAGACACATCTAAGTAGACTGTGGATCCCATATAGTGTTTGCAGCACAGCTTCCCCACCCTATGCTTAGAAGATGTACAATGCAAGGCCCATAAAATATCTGCAGGTCCAAAGAAAAGCTGTTAAGGAAGCAGTGCATTATTCCACCAGCTCCCACTCTACTGAGTGGAACATTGCTTCAGAACATTGCTGGCACATTGCTCGAAATGGATAAACTCTGCCTGCATGTGGAAACTAAGAGGACATGGAAAAGTCTAGTCCTGTAATAGAGTCATATTGTTTTGCATGGAGTCCAGGGAGGAAAACAGCCCTAATTCTGATTCCTGGGCTAAAAAATGACATGCCAAATCCCCGAGGAAGGGAGCTTTTACTTTCCATAGCAGTTGCTCAGATCTTCAAAGTACCTTATCATCAGAACAAATCTCTTGCCTCAAGATAAGCAAAGTGCTTTATCTCCTAACAATGGTCTTTAAACTTTCCCTTTCTCCTTGAAACTATTTTTTTCTGGAGACACCCAGAAATTGCCTCTTGCCATCTTATGTTACCAAGGCTTCAAGGCCTGAAGGTTCCATTGTTTGAAATCTGAAAAAAGGGGTCTCTTTCTGGGCTTAAGTAATGTCTGACCTTGCCAACATGAAGAATTTACATAGATAACAAGAAGATTGCATAACAGGTTCCACTAGACATTCTTGGCCTATCAAACCTTCTACTTATGTCCACTGAACAAAGCAAGTCTGCACTCCAAGCAGGACTCTTATCGCTGACAACGAGGGGGAGAAAATAAGGACTAAGTTCATCTCACACAACAGAAATGCATCTCAAAAACAAAAACATGAAGGGAAAAATAGAGCACGTTTCATCCACATCTTCCCACTAACAGTAACTATAATCCAGTGCTGAATGCTTCAGTTTTTTGGGACATGTTTTCCTCTCAGCTTCATAGCTGAAAGAAGTGGTGCTTGTCTCAGTGATCTATTTATACAGCTCAAAAGCATACTCAGGCTGGATGACCTCATCTTCTCCCCAAAATGATTTCCTTTCAGGAAAATCACCACAGCAGCATACAAAGCGACTATAGCAGCAGTCCCCTCCAAATCAAGTGTAAATTTGGGATGATAAAGCCTGTGATGCTCAAATAGTGATGATGATGATGATGATGATGATGATGAATAATTCCACTTATCTCAACTGTTACACTCTCTCCTGCCACACTCAAAGCAGTACTATGCATAGTTCTAAAACTAAACTATTCACTAGGGTTTTGCTTTGTGTGTGTTTTTGGCAGAAACAATGTTAAGAAAATAAATATGCACAGCCACATTAGTGTCCTGATTTCCAAGAAATTAAGCTGAGGAAGACATTAAAAAATGGAACAACAAGAACATCCCAGGGTTCAAAGAAACTCATGCTGAAGCATATGCAACACTTCCGGAACAAAATCTTATGTTCTTCATTTTTAGCTTGTTTACATTAACTGTTTAAAGCAATATTTCTGAAATTCTATGCACCACCATCTCTCCAAGGAGCCCCTGTATGACTGAAGTAATGATCCCTCCTCAGTGTGTGTTCATGCTCTCACACTTTGCATCACAAAAACACCCATCTAGATCCACTCCTTAATCCTGACATGTTCCAATTTCACATAGAGATGAAGGAAACATGTTCCTGAAACATGTTCCTGTAGAGAAATTCACTTTAGAAAGCAAGAGTTCTTCTAAGTCCAAACACAAGGATGAATTGAGTAAAGAAATGGAAACGCTAGTACAGATGATTTCAACATGTTTTTCATAAAATTTTCCCGTGTCATCTGACACAGCCAAAATATGACTATATAAAAGAAAGTTACACATGAACAGAGAGTGAAAGGGCCAATACAGTAAAGAGGCAATTCTAGAGCCATATTTCTGGGCAGTATCCGAATCTAATGCTCTGCTTATGCCATTGGCAAAGTGCTTGCTCCAGCAACCTCTAGCACTACATTTTCCCTGGGTAACCCATTTCCACAGCACATCCTGTTGGGGTTGTGCTAAAGCTGCTTCTGCTACCACGGACTCACCTGTATAAGCAGAGCTGGATACCACCCTGACTACATGTGCACCCACACATAAAATCCCCTGCCTTACAAACATGTGAACACTATGAAAAACAGCAAAAGACAACACATTAAAAATGCCCTTATGCTAAATGCAGGCTTAGTTGCTAGCTCCCTTGCTATCTCTTTGGCGTTTGCCTTCCAAAGCTTACCTTAGTGGCAGCCCCAAGCTGGCTAATAGTGGGAAAACAAGACCTTGGCACCTGTCCCCCAGAGAGACTAATTAACATTAAAAGTCAGTCAGTACTTCTGTGATGGTCAACCACAAAGTTATAAACTCAGTTTTCTATCTGTTCCCTCCAGTTCCCCAATTACTTACCTTCCATGCTGGGTGAAGGAAAAAATGCAATCACTAGTACGGGAATAATCATAAGTCCATTTATCATTGTAGACCTAAAGAAAAGAATAGAAGATTCTTACTTTAAAAAGAAATCTGAACTACTCACCCAACTTCATATCTTAAGAGCAACATCACCAATTGCCTAAACGTCAATTGCCACTTGTTGATTTTCCCCATTCAGTCAGCAATTCAAAGCATCTTCCCAACTCCATTTAACAATTATTTCTTAGACGGGCTTTAAGAGTCTTTGAAGGAAGCCAAGTTCTGAAAAGACAACAATATAAAAGCCTTTTCCTGAGCAGCTAAGTGCATACAAAATTGTTTATGAGTCATAAAGCATGTGTACACTTTCACAAATATAAATCCAAAGACTGCAAGCCACACATGCAGTGGTTAATATCAACAAAGACTCACACCAGCATGTAATATTGGGGCTGCAAAGTAAATGGCTGAGATCTCAGCTGAGCTGCTGTGTAGGCCAACTAAAAGGGCCATAAAAAGACTAAAGTAAGCCCTGTTGTGTTACATGCCACATTACATTCTAGATGGACAGACCAACCGATGGGATGAGGGCTCCTACCTCTTCAGGGCATTTATTTCCCAAAAGCAGTTCCAAACAATCTTGCAAGGATAATGCATACAAGTTTCCTCTCCAGTGTCCCTGACATCATCTCTGGTAGGAGAATCACATAACACGAAAACTATGAGAACTGCTAAGTCCTATCAGAGAAAGTTCAACTCTTTGCCCTTTCCACACAAGGGGTGTGACTCATTTACAGTGATGATACACACACATAAAACATACGGTGCATTTTAGTATGAAAACAGTGTGAGTCTCTTGTTTCATAGCAGGGAGTACTAGTCACCAATGTCTTCTTCCTGAATCTTCTGACACACTTGTTTGAAAAGCTTCACACACGCGCACACACCTTTACCTGCAATATAAAAAATCTAAGCAACCGAGGCAAAACAATTTGGCACAATGTCAATTAACTCCTGCTGTCCACACACTTCCATGAAACAATGTCACCTCAAAATCCAAGGAATAAGATCCTTTCACTGGAAAGGTAGCAAGACTATATGTGCTATGAGCAATTCCAACTTTCACTGGTAAATGCCATCCACCCACAAGTCACCATGCAACAATTTCACAAAGCCACAGCTGGCCTAGCTAAAAAATAGCAACAGTAGTTTAGATGTGTGTTTTTAATAGCACAAGGGCAGGTAGACCTTAATTAGCTCCTGTCTCAAATGTGCACTTGGAACATAATTGGCAGCAATAATCCCTAGTTCTTTCCTGCACTCAAAAATGAAACAAGGAAGGAATCCACCTGCCTTCCATTGGCAGGGACAGCGGACACAGAGCACCTGCTTTGCATGCGAAAGGTCTCCAGTTCAATTCCTGGCATCTTCAGGTAAGGCTGGGAGGGACCTTCAGTCTAGTACCTGGAGAGCCACTACCAGTCAATGGAGGCAACGCAGAGTTAGATGGGCTGGTTCATCCATCGACCCTCTCCACTGCAACAGCAAGCCGCACATCCAGTCTCCCTCTCTCCCCACACAGCAACGGCAATTCTCAAAAAACATCATTAAGAACTTCTGCCTTCAAGCAACTAACCACAAAAAGGCAAGAAATGCAATTTTCAAAAGATACCAATATTAACTTTGCTGCCCAGCCTTGACTGTTCTTTGACTGGCATGTCCCAAAGTGAAATGGTATTGCAGGGCAAAGTGGCACAAGGACTTCTTCCATCGTTCTGAACGCAAATTGTTGGGCACAATGTTCTTTTGAACAAGAAATATAGCATGCTCCTGAATGCCCTCCTTACACCGAAGAAGGGAGAGAAATTAACATGTATGTTGGGTTTTCCTTACATGATGCCTCAAAGGCAAGGTTGGAACAGCTCAGTTGTCCCTGATTTTACCACAGAAGTATACACAGAGTAAAATGTGAAATATAAAAGGAGACATGTGAATTCTGTCTACCTCAGGATTATCTAGATTTTGCATTTCCCAGTTTTGAAGGATTTAGCACATTACAAGCTACAGGCTACAGCTTCTGAGCTGACAGCCAACGCAGACTCACTGACAGAATGTCACTGGTAGGTTAAACTGCCTGTCATACAGCTGAAAGGTAACTGAAATGCTATTTACACAATAGAAACAACTACATAGCTAAACTATTATCGTTGACAGTAAACTGCTGGCAACAATAATTAACTTTCATTCACAAGAAAAACTATTATTTAAATAATTATCATCACACTGGAAATTTATAGAAATCTAATAGAAATTATGAAGAATACAGACATGTTACCAGCAGGGGACCTGATAACCCCCTTCCATTCCTATAATTAGTTGCCAGGAGGTTATTCCATGTGTAGCATTTCTGGATGGGCAGGTTGTACTCAGAATATTCTAGCAGGTGGCCCAGAAAGAGAAGTATTACAGGTATGTGCTATGACCAGAATCTTAATTCACCATGCAGAACAATCCAATACACATACAGAACTGGCACTCTATCTACTCTTAGATATCTAAAAGTATATATTAGGGCTACAGTCTTATAGGGATCCTTGAAAAAGCAAAGCAGAGACAACACATTTATTTTATAAATGATAAATGTGGCATTGCTTTGATTAAAGTTAAAATGGCCCTTGTTAGGGAATATCATCCATATGTTATATATTTTAAATAGCTATTTGAAAAGCATAGTAATACACAGTAGTAGAAATACTACACAGAGCATTTGCAAATCAGTCCCACAGCAAAAGGGACATGTTGAGGCAGTCTGAGTAAATGACAGCCTCCTGATTTAAAAAACAACATGTTGTCATGCACAAGCTGGAGAAAGTGGGCTCAGCCTGCAGGCCTCTTTCACGTTTATTGCATAGCCCACAATCAATTGCTTCATAGGTTGGGGAGCACGACAATCAATCCTGGACCACCATTAGGATAATGAACTGCAGGAAAAGCATTGGGTTGTTCAGACCAGAGGTCCAAGTTAAGACATCACACGCTGCAACCTACAAAGGAGAGAACTCTGGTTTGTGTAATAATAGCAAAAGAAGTCAGCGTGCTAGGGCCAATTTGCCCATCCATTAATTTTTAAATCACTATGTGTCAACCAAGTCAATACCATTGTGAAAGGTGAAATTATTTTAGATTTTGAAAGGACAGCACATTTTGATTGATGGGGATATCTATTAATGTCCATGAATTGTATCTAATTAGAACCAGTTCCTCAGCCTCCCTGCAGTTCCACATGCCTCCTCTTCCGCAATCTGCTCCAAAGGAAAATGCTACAGAGGGGAGAAGAATAAGGAAAAGCTTTAGTGCATGAATAGAAATCCACCAGTGTTTCCCTTAACTAACATCTTTTCCAACCTGCCCGAATACTTTGCTGAAATGCAGCACATCACTACAATCCTGAATGCAATGCATAAACTAGTTTGCCATTACTCACAAATTACCAACTTGGCCCTTAGTGCTCAGTGAATGAGGAATTGCATTGCCACCACATCACACTAGACCATGGGTCCTCAAACTAAGGCCTGCAGGCCGGATCCGGCCCACCATGCCCATTTAACTGGCCTGCCCCACAGGTTTTGCACTTGCTGCGTGTGTGGGTGCGCGCAGGCACGTGACTAGCTCGGAGAAAACGATCTCCTCGTGAGCAAGCCAGCGCCTCGCCCCGTGTCCCCCCCCCGCCCCTCCCCTCCCCCCCCCTAGCCTGGGCCCCCCCCCCAGCGGCACCACCTTGGCGGCCCGTGCCCACCGCTGGCGCCTGTCAACTGGCCCCCTGTAGAAAAAGTTTGAGGACCCCTGCACTAGACCAAACAGTAGGGAGAAATTTGGACAGCTAAAATGTGATCTATTTCCAAGGGATACAATGCAAAAGACTGTTTTTAAAAATTTTAAGTGAAAATTGGAGTAAGTAGATAGATAAACTAAGGGCGAAAGCCTCTCCATGTTTAGTCAGAAAATGCCATATTATTCCAGCTAGCTGAGGATATTGAGCATTCCCAAACTTTCTATCTAAACATGTAAACAGATAGCATCCTTAAACACTTAAGAAGAAGCAGAGTCCAGCTCTCTACCGCATCAGGTTCTCTAACAGAAGCTAGCATACTGTTTTGGCATTTGAAAGTCAGCCAAGAAACTTTGGGAAGTCTTGTCAAGATCTCTTGCTGGCTGCCATTTTGCTCAGAGAATGCAGGATCCGCTGTTAGCATGTTAATTCAAGCTAGTTAAAAATAAACCTTGAAAGAAAACCCATTGATTTTTAAATACACACATCAACTCCACAAATCCATGCCAAGAACTTCAAACAAAAAGCGAAGTTCCATTGCTGCCTTTCACCTAGATAAAAATGAATTCCTCTATTAAACAGATGGAGATTAGGATCCATCCAGAATCAGCTCTCTGGACCGAGATAATTGATCGGCGTTCTACTGTAGCGGCAGGGGTGGAGGTGGCAGAGGAAGAAGAGAATAGCAAGGGGACAAGGGGGATGAGGAAGTGACATGAAGCTTCGGAAGGAAGCCCATCCTATTTTCTAGTCCAATGGCTTGTCACATTAGACAGACCCACAACCAAGCAGCTCACTGACATTGTCCCAACCCCACCCAACAGGCTTCTTCTGCAAACTCAGATATCTAACAACAGCTTACCATTCTTGACGCTAAAAGATTAACACTCCCCAGTTTAAGCAACCAGATTCCCCACCACCACCACCACCACCACCACCACTCCCGGACAGCAGTATATGTAAGCCCCACAGTCTCTCACAATGCAGGCAATTACTTTCCTTCCCTCCGGCTATGCCTGGGGTCTTTTCCGCAACATCTCTTCAATAAAGTTTTGTCTAATTTGGGTAACAAATATTCTGGCAATCTCCAGAACAGTGAATTTGAGCAAATATTATTATACAGATATCTTATATCTATCTTATAATGCAGTGAATTGAGGACCTTACAATATTTTCAATATTTGAACAGGTGGTATATAGACTCCACCTTCAAATGAACACTTATTTGGATATTTGGTCTGC